AGGTACAGGAATCTGACTCTTTGTAATTTTCTACGGAAAGATAATTTATGTTCAGAGTTCCAAACAACTGTGTTAACACCTATTATTTTACAACCAGTGGACTCATTACTATGTAAGATTTAACTATTTTTTCAGTATGTGGTTTGGGGCCAGACATGTAACTATTAAATTGTTGTATGTCTTTACAGGGTTCAAAACTATGGATAATAATGGAATACCTAGGTGGAGGTTCAGCTTTGGATCTTGTGAGTATTTTGAAAAAAGTTATATGCACATTCATAAGCTTATTTAACTCTTTGTAATTATGAAAACAGTAGCTTTTGGGCAAGCTAAGTTATTCAGGTAGGATATTCAGTTTGAACTCTGTTTGGGTGCCTTCTACTCTTATGTGCACAAACTGCATTACAGATTTGGTCATGCTGCTGACAGTCCTAGGGTATACAGGAAATGCAAATATTTCAGTCTTGAATTCAGAGCCAATGTTTACCAGTTACTGTCACTTTGACGTTTTCATGTACTTGGACTTAAAAAGAATACATTATAGGGTATGAAGAGATAGATGGCTCACTGGTTAACAGCACTGGCTTCTCTTCTAGAGGCCCCATGTTTGATTTCCAACACCCACCTGGCAACTCACAACTAGCTATAATTCCAGTTCCAGGGGATCCAATGCCTTCTTCTGGCCTCCTCAGGCTCCAAGAACATAAGTGGTATACAAACCTATATGTGTATACATAAAATAATAATTGAAGAAAAACTTTAAAATACAGCATTGTGGTAACTGTCACTAACAGTGATCATGAATCAAAGGTTTGGGTCTTTGAAAATTTATGTTTCAATACTCTCACCCCCAACATGATTGTATTAGGAGAGATAATGAAGTCATGAGAATGGAGCCTTCAGGGATGGAAATAGTATTCTTGTCAAAGTGATCCCTGGGGGACTTTCTAGTTTTCCTTCTATTATATGAGGATACAATGAGGACCATCTGGAAACCAGGAAGAGTGGTCTCAGGAGATACCCATCTGCTTAGACTCCTGCCCCAGAACTGAGAAATCCGTGTTTGCTATTTAATTCTCGTCCTGTCTGGGATGCTCTGTTATAGCAACCTGAGGTGATTAAGACAGAGGTGTAGGGTTTTAATCCAGTTGGCCGGCAGATATGGCTTTCTACGGAGAGGTTTCTGCTCCTCAGTAGGTCATTTAAAAATGTGGTGGATTTTTCCCCATTTGGTTGTTAAAATAACTGAAAAGTGTTACTATCATTGTAGTGTTGTGGTTTTTAATTTTGTAAATTCTCATTTATTAGTCGATGTATTATGAGGGTGGAGAAAGGGTGCACACAGTCCATGCTGCACATGAGAAGGTTAGAGGACAAGTTGCCAAAGTTTCTTCTCTCCTCCTACCATATGGATTCTGGGAATTGAATTTAGGTCATCGGATTTGATGGCAAGTGCCTCTGCTCATTGAGCCACTTACTGGCCCAGTTTCCTATTCCCAGTTTCCTAAAATCTGGTGGTGTGTAGTTCCACCCAATCTTCATGTTCACATGGAAAATGCCTCCGAGAAAAATTGTTTTTCCTAAGTTGTTGTTATGGTATCAAAGTTGATCCCTCCCTTGAAAAATTATGAATGTGCAATATATTTAAAATGCAATATAAATTATAGTAGTCAGCTTGCTATGGATTGACCATTGGATGGACATATAGCAGTTTGAGGTTCTCTATCTGTTTGCAGTCATGAAGGTCTGCTACTTTGAGGCAGACACATAGATGCTTTGGCCTTGGAGATGCTATAGCACAAAGAACTTACACTAAGTGATCCTGAGTTCTTACACCTCTAATAGTATGTGCCATACTCAGGGCTTTTGTTCTTTTATTTTTGAGGCCCAGGATGTCCTGGAACTTATAATCTTCAAGCCTCAACATCCATGAGTGTTTCAACTTGTTTTGAGGCAGGATCTTCAAACCCTTCTATATAACCCTCCTTACCACTCTTTCAGATTCATAACCTCTTTTTTCATTGTTATTACATTCGTATATGCACATATATATTTATATTCCTAAATATGATTTCCATCTTTTACCATTTTCAGTTCATTGCTTCAATATTTGCAAATTTTGACTATAGAATTCTTTCACTTTCTAGGTTAGGTATATCAATTCCAAAGTATTTTATGTCTTTGAAACAATTGTGAATGAGATTACTTCCCTGCTTTCCTTTTTTAACGTGTTTGCTATTTGAATATATAATAGATATTTATTTTTGTACGTTAAATTTGTATCCAGCCATGAGTGTGATGAGGTTGGAAAGAGGCCTCAGTGGTTAAGAACAGTGGCTGCTCTTCCAGAGGACCCAACACTCACATAGCAGCTCACAGCTGTCTGTAACTCCAGTTCCAGGGGATCTGACACCCTCACACAGACATACATGTAGACAAGTCACTAATGCACACAAAATAAAAACACAAAAGGCCTTAGCCCTGACTGCTAGTGGCTTAAAATTTCAGAAAATATTATGACTAGAAAGGTGTCTGAGAGATTTTCTTTGTGGGAGCGTAGGTGGTCCACACTTAAACTATTGTACAGAAATGGCAATTAATCTCAATGGAGAGTCTCACCTCCTAGGAATTCCTGGTAGCTTATGTATTTGCCCAGTTTGTTAATCCATCCTTGACTTTATCCTTTATCTTCACTATTTCTCTCTCCTTTCCAGTGAGGCAACTTCTTATAGAAAAATCTTCCATGCATATGAGTTTAAGCTCTGTTCTCCTGAACATAGATGATCATTTCTCTATACCAGCGGGTCTTGCTGTTGCTCTGCTCTACCTCTTCAATACAGATAGCCCTTTGCAGCCCTTACTTTGGGTCCCCTAAGGTACTCACCAGATCTTTTCCCTGTTTTATAGGCATTGGGAAAGCTGTAGTCACTGATAACAGTGTGACCCATTGCCTGCTGGCACAGTCCTAGCTAACAATCCTAATCCACATCCGCTACTAATAGTTTGGTTCGTTTAATGTACTGTCTGGAGTCAAACAAACATATTTCCTTTATCTCAGATTGCTGCCCAGCTCTTCATGAGAAGACAAATGGCAATTAATATAAACGTAATGAATTTAAATGTTGTCAGTACCATAATGGTTAAAAGTCTAGTGACCCCCATCCCAGCTCTACAAAATGGCTCGCTGATACTGAGCATGTCAGTCACTCTGTGACTTAATCTCCTCAAATGGTAAATGAAATGAAGAAAATGGGTTATAAAGGTCTAGTTCTGCTTTTCTAACCAAAGCTAAAATTAACCATACTGCGGTTTAATTGTACGGCATAGAAGACACTGAGAAAACATGTTGCTCCTTCTCAATGTGGATTCAATCGTTTTTGATTATCCAAGAATTTGTGGAGAAGGTAGAGAAAACAAGATGGATTCTGAGCAGAGTGTTTCTCAATTCAAACTAGCAAAAATCGTGATTTGTTGTTAGGATTATACACTGTACACTTCAAGGGTTTTATTCCAGGAAAGTCACTCATTGCAGATGAACAGACTTTGACCATATTAGATGTGATTTTATGGAATCTATTATGTGCTGTTTCTTTCAAAGGCATTTACGTTGTCTTGCACAAAGACATGGGGTAACTGGGATAAAGCATGAGCACCATGGAAAGAAGCCTGGAAGAATATCCTAGTTATGAAAGAAGGCCTACTGTAGCCTGCAGCCTTGGGGACTGGCAGGAAGTGAGAGGAATGCAGGGAAAACCCATAAGCCCACAAGTGCAGGGCCTTTAAAAGACCAATTGTTGTCCCTCTTCTGCAGATCCTTACTTTCAAACCCAGGCACATTATACAAGGCAGGTATGTTGCCCTGGGGCAGAGGAGTGGAACTTTGCAGAACACTTTCAGTTAAGCATTCCAAGACCTTGGCATTATATCTCCCAGGGTTGTATTTGAAATTGTTTTTAAAGAAGCAAAACAAACAAACATCCCCTCATATCCCATCTATGTGACATCCCTTCTGTTTCCAACATCCTTAGTTCTCTTTTTCTCATGACTGCCAGCACACCTTAGGAAACATGTGCACTACAAGGTTTGAGGCTATTTTAGGTACGGTAATGGTCCAGAAAAATCCACCCCCACTCACCATCCCATATCCTCCCCACCCTCACTCCCCTCCCCAACACCACAAAGTATTCCCTCCCATCTCATTTCAGGCTCCAGTTGAAATTTTACTTTGAATTTTCAACTAATCCTAAATTATATCATACCATATAGTAATGAATCTTTAAGACACTTTTTGTTTTTCTTACTGAAATGTTTTAAAACTTCTATATTAGAAAGTGAATTGAGGTATCTATCCCTTACTTAGAAACCCTTCAAAATGATAGTGGGTGCCCTTAAATTGTCCTTGCCCAATTTCTTAAGTAACCAAGAGTATGCCTCTGCTCCTGCAGTGGACATATTAAATTCCAGTCTTAATTCATATGTTGTATGTCCTCTGGTTATTTTATTCATTCCAGTCTTAACTCATATGCTGTATGTCCTCTGGTTATTTGGTTGTTCCACAGGATTTTGGCAGCCATCAATAAAATAATGTCTCATATTCACCTTTAGAATCATGTTAATCACTAACCTTTAAATTTAAAAAAATGAGATAGAAGTTGATAGATTTGAAAGTAAATAGATAATGTTACCTCAGAATGGGATCTATTGAATTACAGACATCCTTGGAGGATACGGTGTACTCAGACCACTCTTAATAGCAAATGGTGAAACCAAAGTACAAGGTCTATTTAAGCTGTTAAATTTTGACATAAAAGTACCCTTTATTCAGTATAAATATGGCATTCATGGAAAGATGAAATACACAAGGTGCCAAAGAGCTGGGAATCCCTCCCAGTGTGAGGCAGAATAGGCAATGTATGATTTGTACCTTCTCGCCCCTCCTTCCAGCAAACAGAATTCTACCTCCCTCTGACTTCAGCTTCCCACCCTTCCTGTAATAATATTGTACAGTCCACTATTTGTGCTTTATGAGGTACCAGAATTTTTAAATGACCATTTATTTTAAAGAGATTTTTGGGTATTCCATTACAAGTTCTCCTGAATCCTAATGATTGCTTTCCTTGTCTTCCAGTTGGAATGACTGGCTTTCGTACAGGGGTGGGGAAAGAAAGGGAAGTGTGTTACGTTTGTTTGAAAAATATTATTCCTCCATGATCTGAATTTTTTACAATGAGAGTCTGAATAGTTTAGTTATTATATTCCTGGCTGAATTTAAATTAGGAGTGTCTGATTGAAAAACCAGTTCAGTGTTAACATGTGCTCACCGTTTAAAAACAAATGCAGCTGGCTTCTTTTATTTTTGCATTCTCATTTTGTCTAGTCATTGTGCGTAGTATGGTGTGACATAAGGACACTGTCACACATATATATTATACACTAACATATATACCTTCATACCCCTATAGCCCTGCTTCTTAGTCTTCCTGTTAGTTCCCATTGTTCCCTTAGAGAGTCTCATTCCCTAAGTAACAGATTCATATCCCTTTTGCTCAAGTAACAGCAGTCCAATCATCATTTGCATGCATTTGTTAAATCTTGAATATAAATTTTAGAACCCTCAGATTTGGAGCAGTTAATATATAGGTAAAAATGCTTAGCTGAACTTTCAAGATAAATCATTTATTTGTATGTGTGTGAGTGTCTTGGCTTTAGACAAGATCTCCTATAGCCTAGGCTCTCCTGTAACCTGGGCTAGCCTCAAACTGTCTATGTAGCCAGAAATGAACTTAAGCTTCTGACTCTTCTGCATCTATCTCTCAAGTGCTGGAATTACAGGCATGTGCCTCCACACCCAGTTTATGGGTGTTGGAGATCTAACTCAGAGTTTTGCTCATGTTAGGCACATACTCGCCAGCTGAGCTATATCCCCAACCTACAAATTAATCATTTAAAAACCTGACATGACTCTTTTACCATTTTTCCTCCTTTTTAAGTTTTTCTCCTCATTTGTTCGAATGTTGGTTCAATAAGCCATTTCAGATAACTACGTGATGCTAAAGTTTCAAAAATACCAATTTTGAAATATTTTTTCAAAATTTTTTAAAGTGTGTGAGTGTACGTGTGTTTTCTCCTTAAGCTACGTGCTGGTCCATTTGATGAATTCCAGATTGCCACCATGCTCAAGGAGATTTTGAAAGGTCTGGACTATCTTCATTCTGAAAAGAAAATTCACCGAGACATTAAAGGTATACAAAAGTCAAATAGAAACCTGAGAAAAACAGATACATTTTGGGGAAGCTGAGAGATACTCACTTTGTTTTTCTTTGCCCCCTAGCTGCCAATGTCTTGCTTTCTGAGCAAGGTGATGTTAAGCTTGCTGACTTTGGAGTTGCTGGCCAGCTGACAGATACACAAATTAAAAGAAACACCTTTGTGGGAACTCCATTTTGGATGGCTCCTGAAGTTATTCAACAGTCAGCTTACGACTCTAAAGTAAAGTATTCCACATGCAGATGGAATTAATTGGATATGGCCTTGTCAATAAGCTTTTTAATTTTTCCTTGCTTCACAAGTGCTTCTAAAAGAAATTATGTCGTATTTTGTTTCTTAATCGTAAATCCCTTTGGTGTTGGTAATATTTGAGCCCTATTTATTTCAATGGTTTTTCAACCCACTTGGAATAAAATCTAGAGTCCTCATAGTCACATATATGGCCACTGATGATCTGGCCATTTGATGTCTATCCACCCTTGTCTTCTACCACTGTCATCTGTACTCTCAGCTATTATGGCCTCATTGTTCCTCAAACACAAGTACATTTTGACCTCAGGAGTTTTCTCTTGCTTTCCCCTTTGTCTGGAATAGCCTAGCTCCCAGTGAGCTCTCTCTAAACATCCCTAACCATCCCACATAAACATGTAGCTCCTTTCTTTGCTTTGCTCGATATTCCCTTATTCTGCTTTTTGTGTCTTCACAGAACTTAGTTCCATATGACATCATGTTACTCATTTATCTTTCCCTCTTATTAGAATGTAAGCCTCTTCAAGGCAAGGACTTTCATCTGGTTTATTTAGCACTCAATTAGTGTTGTGCCTGTACAAAATATGAGATTTAAAGTGTTAATTCATGAATTCCATTAACTAAAATTATAATTCACCACATTTCTTGATATGTCAATGTGATAAAAAGTTTGTGTTATTGTTTCTGCTTTAGGCTGACATTTGGTCTTTGGGAATTACTGCTATTGAACTTGCCAAGGGAGAGCCTCCGAATTCTGACATGCACCCAATGAGAGTTCTGTTTCTTATTCCAAAAAACAACCCTCCAACTCTTGTTGGAGACTTTACTAAGTCTTTTAAGGAATTCATTGATGCTTGCCTGAATAAAGATCCATCATTTGTGAGTATATGCTGTTATTACCACTGGTGGTTTCCAATTGTTCTATCTACTTCTAACAAAGGTGGTGTTTCCTATATGGAGAATACAATGTGAAAAACATCTGTGATCCACCCACGAAGCTGGTTTCTCCTTCTGTATTGCTAATTCCACTCTGTTCTTAACCAGATTCTTGGTCTTGTTTTTTCCTCCCTGACATCATCTTCTTAGTTCCCAGCTACCTGATAATATTCTATTTCAAGAAAAAAGTTTGGGGAAATAATTCATTAGCTTTCTATTACTTACTTAGTAAAGTAGGCATGTGCCATTAGTGAGGGAATTGACTAAATTTATTACATGTCTTAGTGTTGTTAAAATAAAGCTGCTTTTCACTCCTGGTGATTAAATATACATGAGCACCTTTCTAAGCTGGATGTAACCATTTTATGTTGACAGTAAACATTATAATATTAATGAAATACTGAAGGGGACATATTCCCTACAGCACTTGCTGTTTGCATTCATGTACAATAAGAATTAGTGTTTGATAGAAAAGCATATACTAAGATGTGGTCAGATAATGACAAAATTAGGGATTCATAAGATGTGCAGATAATAACAAAATTACAGCAATCTTGCTCATTTGCATGATTTTTCAAAAATTACAGTCAGTGTAATAAAGTGTCTTAAATGTTGTTTTGACATTTTTAGATGGTTACTTTCTAAGTCCCGCTATTGCTGAGAAAGCTTTGTTGAGTGGCATGCTGGTGAGGTATCCTAGCATCTGTCTACTGTGCTTTAACAAATCAGGCTGCTAAAACAACCAATTTCAATTGGCTACCTTGACCCACTTGAAGAAATAAAATGGTCAGTTTTCCTATTACATTTTAATTGTCCTCCTGTTCATAGATCCAGTTTTGTAGATTTCAGTGTAATAATTCAAATGGTGTTTTACTACCTGTCTCTCCCCAAAAGATCCTCAAAATAGTCATGAGTCCTTTTCTTTGTGTGTGTCTGTGCCTTAGCGTCCTACAGCAAAAGAACTTTTGAAACATAAGTTCATTGTAAAAAATTCAAAGAAGACTTCTTATCTGACCGAACTGATCGATCGATTTAAGAGATGGAAGGCAGAAGGACACAGTGATGACGAATCGGACTCCGAGGGCTCTGACTCGTATGTACAAGTTACTGTTATTTTTATGTTGGCAGCCTGTTTTCATATGCTCTGCCTTTCGCAGTGACCTAGTGTGCTTGCTTTCAACTAAGTTATAAATCACCGTGAGGGCTCATTTCAGCCACTGTGAAGTTTCTTGATGGTTCATGGAATACAATGAGCTTGGAAACACACTTTGGAAGAGAAAAGCTCTGCTTTTAAATGGTCTCGGTCTAACCCCTAGTGGATACTTGAGTATATTACAAAATTTTGGAATACGATTTGATTAAAGGTGTTCTATTAGTTCATGAGAAGCAATAAGGAGCTATTTTCTCATACAGTGATTACAACTTGCAAAACCCTTTGGAGAACTGCTGTCACAGCCCTTCCTACTTCCTGGTCCCAGACCAAATTGATCAGACTGATCCGTGAACTGTGACAACTATTTACTTATGTATGGTTTTTACCCTATGGACAAGTTAGTCTTTTTGAAAAATGCCAGTATTTCTGCTTCTGTGTGCTCATCTTAACTTGAGTAGAAGAATTCAAGGGCTGAACCAGGATTTAGTCTTTTGGTATGTAGACCTCCACAGAGGTAGCACCCTATGTCGTCACAATATTCTCAGGCACCTGCATTTATGAGAAATTGCCCAATATTTGAAATGAATAAAATATCTCAGTATGTAGTTTGTGCCCAGTTTAAGGCTTGTTAACCTTAACTGCCCATGAAAACTTCTTGATGGAACTTTAAAAACACAAGGCATTCTACAGGGTTCGTGATTCAGGCATAGGGGAATGGCAGTATTAACAATATAGCGCTATGCACATAGTATTTGGATGATCAGTTAGAGCTGAGAAATGCTCTGTTCTTGAATCAAATGGAGTACCCACCTGAAACAGGTCAGATGCGGTGTTGTATGGTGAGTTTGTAAACACTGACACAGTGAGATCTTTGAGTTGGTGTTTCTGCCATGTCGAACTACTTGGTATGTTTTTTATTTCTTTAGGGAATCCAGCAGCAGGGAGAGTACTACTCACCCTGAATGGAGTTTCACCACTGTGCGTAAGAAGCCTGATCCAAAGAAACTACAAAATGGGGAGGTATGTATATGGGATTCATTGGTTTATTTAGCATACAAAGTAGCAGATTTCATCATAGCATCTTTATATACATGCCATGATTTTTCTTATCTGATTGTGTCCTCCTTATAGGCTTTAAAAGTGGTGTGATGAGATTATAATGTGGAAAAGCCATGAGAATCTAATACCCTTGCATGCCTATCTACCTCACTGTGTGCATCATAATGTTCGTTTCCCATTCATTGTGACCTAATTAAGTCATAGAAGTCATTTAAATGACCACTGTTATTTTTTAAATGCATTTCCATGTAGAGATGTGAACCTGGGAAATCAAATGTCTTTTGGAATCCTAGAAGTTAGGGAGCTTCCACTGACGGATTACAATTGGCGACAGAAAGAAAATGTAGGGACTGGCCTTATCTTGGGTCTTTTGAAGGGGGAATTCAAATTGATTCACATGTGTTATCAAATAGCTAAGAAAAGCCATGAATGATTCTTTTAATTTCATGTGTGTAATCTGTATCATTTCTTCAAAGGAGCAAGATCTTGTGCAAACCTTGAGCTGTTTGTCTATGATAATCACACCTGCATTTGCCGAAGTAAGTGTGGGTTATTTAGTATCCGATATCTGTCTCAAGTGGCAGCATATTTTAAATGTTATAGCTATCATTCTTCTTCAGCTTAAACAGCAGGATGAGAATAATGCGCGCCGAAACCAGGCAATTGAAGAACTTGAGAAAAGTATTGCCGTGGCTGAAGCTGCCTGCCCTGGCATCACAGATAAGATGGTGAAGAAGTTAATTGAAAAATTTCAAAAGTAAGTTTGAAGTACCGTTTTCAAAATGATGTTGACATTTTGGATATTGATTCATGATGGAATATGGTTACTTTGATGCAGTCATTTATGTTTCCCCCTGCAAAATGGCTTTTTGAGCATTGGATGCTTGAAAACAGTTCTGTTTTTGCCCATGTTAAACATTGTTTTTTGTAGGAGTATGTATGTGTTCGTGTGTGCATGCACTCATGTGCTGTATACGTGTATGCACATGGGTATGGGTGAGCTATCTTGCACGCGGGTCTGTGTAGGAAATAGGTTAATATTGGCGTTGTTAACCTATTACTTTCCACCTTATGTTTTGAGGCAGGGTCTCTCACTGAACCTGGAACTTGCCCTTTTAGCCAGACAACATATCCAGTGATCCTCTGGAAGACTCCTCTTTGTCCTCCAAAGCTTAAGTTATGGGGCTCAGTCAGAGCTGACAAGAACAAGGGCACTCGGGATATGAATTCAATTCCTTGTGCTTAGACCTCAAGCACTTAGACCACTGAGCCAGCCCAGTATTAACTCTTGAAATATTATGTTTAAGTATGGGAAAGTAGTTTCCCACCGAACCAATCAACCCAGGTTTATGCACTCTCTTTTTCTGTTAGGATAAAATTTGGGCACATGTAATATCATACATGTTTCCATTCTTGACAGTACTCTTAATATTCGCAGAAACACTAATATTCTATTTATTTCCAGTAACTAAGTTCCTACATTTGAACCCTTATAAAATGTTGATTAAAAGATTTATTGAAAACAGTCTTCAGTAGTGGTTCTTAACCTTCCTAATGCTGTGACCCTTTAATACAGTTCCTCATGTTGTGGTAATCCCAATAATAACATTACTTTCATAGCTACTTTATAAATGTAATTTTGCTACTGTTATGAATATTAATGCAAATATCTGTGTTTTCCAATGGTATCAGATGACACCTGTGAAAGGGTGGTTCAACCCCCAAAGGTGTCATAACACACAGGTTGAGAACTCTTTGCCTAGACAGTAATAGAGGCTTTCTTTGTGTTCAGTTTCTGTCTTGTCTCCTATTAGTTTGATTTTGTTTAAAAAAAAAAAAAACAAACAAAAAAAGTTCTTACATCCATTAAATCCCACTGAGGACTCAGGAGCTAAAGCTTTCTTAAAGTCCCCCAGATTCTCCTCAGAAACTCCCACCTCTTTTCTTGTTTACAAACAAATCCATTGCAAGTTGTAAAGGCAGATGCATAGGAATTTTTGACCATCTTTGCATCTTTTACTGTTCATCGACATAAGATTCGATGGAAATAATTTGTCTCCATTTGTTGTAGAGTTCATGAGTGAAAAATATAGATGACTTGTCTAAAATTACACATTGATTTATACTTTCTTAATTTTATAGGTGTTCTGCTGATGAATCCTCTTAAGAAATTTGTTGTTGTTATTGTTGGCTTCTGTTTCATATGGGCCCAGAGAAACCCACCAAAGCTATGTCAACTTTAATAATGCTTAACCCATGAGCTCCAGGTGCCTTTTGGTTCTTTGCGACATTGAAGATTTCAGGAGAAGCTAGTCAACTATTTTGTGATGGTGGCTATCATTTTGTATTTTATAGAGATTATTTTGTATGGAATAATTTTAATACTATAGTTTTGCCTGTATTGTAGTAAATGTTGAGATACAGCTTTTTTTTTATTTTAGGTACCATTACTCCTTATGTTACTAGAATGAATACTGTTTGGTTTTCAATCTTTAGTTAACTGTACACTCATGAAACATACAGGTCCTTCAAGGTCATCCTAAATATTTAACATCTGTAAATCATCAAGCTTCAAAAAGCATTCTTTTTTTATGCAAGCATTCTTAAAATGACTATGTATGTGTAGAGAGGTAGAAGTAAGTCATACCTTCTTAAGACAAATATTTTTAATAAGCTGTTGGGAAAAAACACCTAGAAAAGTATTGATTTTTCTAGCAAGGACTTCTGGATT